AGTTTTATGCCAACTTCCATATTTTAAATGTTCTTTGGAAGCTTTAAATCTTGACAAATCTGTAAAACTTTTTTTTGAATTATACTACTTAATTGTGCTCATAAGTTAATTTACTTAACGGTATAGGTTAGACATCACTTCCGCTCTGTTTAATATAATGTCCTAACTTTTTCACCCAAGAAAATAAGGAAACCCAGCCAAAAACTTTTCTTCAAACAAGGCCCTTTATGACTTGGAATCTTCTTTTAACATTAATCGAGTGAAAGGAACAGTTGTTTTTAATGAATCTTTGAAAATCATTAGTTGTTTACATTTAAGATTACTTTAATATACATTTAAGATTACTTAATAATTCTGCATTTTTATCTTTTAAGTGAGACGGATCTCCTATAAAATGTAGTGAAATAGTGAGAATTAAAGATGACACAGCATCTTGAATTACTTCACCATGTTCATCATATATAGGTTCACCTTCATCATTTACTTGTACTGAATTTAAGATTTCTAAATGCTCTTTATCCGTGAGATGATAATCCCACCATCCTTTTAATTGGCCTGTAAAGCCTGCTATAATTATTTCTGCGATAGCTCTATCTGAAATAATGGATTGAGTTTTATATGCATTAGCAGCCATTGTCATTTGCTGCAAAATACTCAATATATTATACTCAATATAACATCCCACTACTTTTCAGGAATAATTAAGTCATACTATAATTTCATATCATATATTGTTGTGGATTATACACCTTTAAATTGAGATATAGTATTATTATATTTAAATTGAGATATAGTATTAGGTTTATCAATTATTCTTAGGTCTGGTGCCCTATTTACTATTTCTCTATGGGTTATAGGATTTACTTCAAATTTTTTAATATCTTCTGAGTCAAGTTCACTAACCTCAGAATTAGAATGTTCTTCTAAAATATTTATATTTCTTGATGCTTGAGGAGTATCAGGGGCTACTTGTTGAGTAGTCTCAGAACGAACCTCAAGTTTACTTAATTGGTCTTTTAATTTGTTTACAAATTCTTTTTGACTATTTTGAGAAATTTGAAACGGTTTAAAAATGTGAGATTTAATTTTCTCTTTACCTTTGATACTTTCATTTACAATAGGTTTATCTTCCAATAAATTTTCAATCCTTTTTAATTGTGTGTTTAAACATATGAGACTAGCATTACTAAAATTATTTTGTTCAATTACTTTTTTATTTGCATCATTTTCTTGAGCAATTTTATATGGAGGACATATAATTTCATTATCTTGATATTTTAACTTACTAATGGTTTTAGGAGGAAATTCACTTTTTATTGTTTGATCATTTACTATCCATTCTGGTCTTTACTATCCATTCTGGTCTTTTATCACGAATCGTTATGGACTTTGAACTTTTAAAGAGTTTATTCTCTTCACGCAATCAGCGACTCTATACACACACTACGATCCTCTTATTTCAGTTTGGTTATGTAATTTATATTGCTAAATATCATCTTCTCTACCATATATCTCCACAAGTATAAGTTTTTTAAAATATCTTTTTTCATTTTATTAAATTTTTGTTTAATGAACTTTCAGAAATTTCTTTTATTAAACTTTTTTCAATATCATCTTTACTAAGAACATTTAATTCTCGATTTAGATCACTAACATTTTCAGTTATAGCTGAGGCTGTTGGTGATTCTGGAGATGAATTTACTAAATTGGATTGTTGATTTAAGTAATTATCAACATGATTATAAACTGCCTGTGGAATAGAATTACTATAATCAACACCTTTCATTTTTAAAGATTGATTTAAATTTGGAATATCCGAAGTGGAGTACCTTGGTTTTACTAATGTTTGGATAATTGGTTTAGGCTCAGTTTCTTTATATTTAGCATAAATAACAGAAGGTATAGATGAAGTAGGTTTATCATTTCTGTAGTACAGAGGAAGATGATCCTGCATCTCATACTTTGACTTCTATTAAATTTTATGTTAACTTTTACCAATCTTCAAATTGTTCAATTTTTTGTAAATTTCATGTTTGGTTACTCTTCTCTGTGACAGAGATGAGGCACCAACTCCTTCCAAATTCCATTCGTCTAGGAGTGTTATATCTTTCCATTAAATGGTTTAGTGAATTACTGTATTCGTTTTAGTTAAGTCTGTTTGAAGAAATCTAAGTTTCTCCAATTTTAGGTTTGTAATTTATATTAGTTACCAGGAAGGCTGATTCATGACTTTATAATGAATATTTATAAATCTAAAGCCTATTAGAGAATTGAATCCTTGCTTCATGTATAAATTATGTGTTTAATATATATATATATATAATATAATTATATATATATTTTATATTATATATATATATAGAGGAAAAATTTCTCATCAATTTCCTTTTTCTTTTAAAACTTTCTTAACTCATAATGAAATTTATTTTACTTTCCTTATTCAAAATTCAAAAGGCACTTAACAACTTAAATACCCATTTTTTTTAAACTCTAAAATATGAAGTATCAACTAATCATACTTATGTCATAATATACTACAAAAAAAAAAAAAAAAAAAAATTAAGTAATGCCTTACCACCTAGAGTGGTTGGCTCTTAACTGAAAACCCAGGGAGAATTTTCCTTCTCCAACCAAGCATACTTAACATAACTCTTATTGCACCAAGGTATCCATTTTCTATCCATCATCATGCATTATCTTAACTAATTTTTCACACTTTATTCCCAAAAATTTCCAACAATTTTTTCCCATTTATATCCCATTTAAACATATCCACAATACCATTTTCAAAAACCTTATATCTTATTTTTGTCAAATCAATCCTCAAACATACAAAATAATCACGAGAACCTATCACATTGATTCATACATACATTTATCCAAATAAACCTATAAGTCAGGCATAGGAAATTTCCAGCATAAAATATTTCTTGACCTCTTGCTGTTTTTTAATTACATAAAACAATTGAGTTATAGTCTCCAAATGATGAAATTAGATTCATTAGAAAGTAGATAAAAATTTACCAAATGTATGAAAGGGGGACCACAGCCAGATCAATTGTTGTAAGGGTGGTAAACAGAAGGCTAGGGGAAACACATACAACAGTCCAGGGACTCCGATTACAGAAGAACTAAGTCCATGTTATATGAATTCCTACTTTAACCAACACTCAAATTAAACCACTCTAGGAACCATGGAAGTTCTCAAGAACAGGGAAACAACTTTCATGGGACCTCAAGAACCAATTCTTGTCATTTAAGTGCGGTCAAAAATGGGCATCAATTCAGTGAATGCATGTGGCCCGACATAACAGAGGCAGTTCTAGGTATTTCAGCCATTAAGTGAGTATGTATCTCAAATGTGGACCATTGAAAGAGAATGAGTATAGTGAAATAGCTAAGGAGTATAATCTACACTTTTCAATGGACTATGATAACAAATGGAGAAAATAGAACAAATGGTCGTAATATACTTTAAGCTCAAGGCCCAATAACACTTTTTTCCAAAAATTCATATACTTGTATAACCATAAAAAAAAAAATAACTCAAATGTACCGAACAAAACTGATTACGTAAATGGGTAGAATTATTACTCACATTACCATAAAATATCTATCAAACACTCCACGCAAGAGCAGTGCTCGTGTGCAACAAAGAGTCAACAAATCATAATATAATGCATACATGATCCTCACTTATATAGTATATGATAGTCCTAATAATGCTAAAATATCCATCTAACTTTACTAGATATCTAGGAGAGGCTGATTATTAATAGAACTATGATAACTCTAAATAATTAGCACAATTAAGCTATGCTATTATATAATTATTACGCTTATCAAGCATACTAACAGTTAATGTTCTGTATGTGAGTGTAAGAAGGTCTTCCGCCCAACCTTTGGCTTAAGTTAGAAAATCTTTCCAAAATTCTTGGAAACTATCACTACTAACACCTTCTCAAGCTTAATTCTATCATAAGATATTAAATATCTTAAATCTATGTGGGTGGTGTGGATAGATTGTTGACTTTAACAAGTAAGAAGTGAGAAAACAAAAAAGAGAATAAGAAGACGGACAGTGGCGTTAGAAGAGAAAGAAGAAAGAGAAAAAAGTGGATTTGCCTCAATAATTGAAGTTGACCTTATAAAGTGATCAAAGGGTATTTTGGTTCTTTTCCCCATTAATTGGAATGCTAACGAATTAAGTCATCTAATGGCTAAAATATTCTCCAATTTCAATCCTTCACAATATTATTATCGTCCACAAATATTCTCAATTTTACTCCATAAAATTATTCCTAAATTCCCTTTAATTAATAAAGTATATAATTCACTATATACAACGTGGAATTAGTGCTCCCTCAAAGATATTGAGAAAATATAAGGTTTACTTCCATTATAGTCTGGAGGCGCCATAAAAATCATTGCATTACATACTTCCCAAAAATATTATAGAAAATATAAAAAATCTTCATATTAGCGGTTAGTAATTTTTTTCAGGAACCAAAAATAGTGACCGACTCCCGTTGAGCACAGCTACTGTACCACAGCTAGTACGACTGAGGCGGACTCAGCAGTAGACTATTTATAACAGACCTCCGATTGAGCACATAGACAAGCGGCATTATGTCATTAGCACTGGAGTAATTCACACTACCCATTCTAGTTAATCATTAGTCAATTATCTTCCTCGGATCTAAATATAAGGCAATAATTCTCCCACCTTTCAGTGTTAGCCACCATCTCATGAATCGATAAAATATATTATTTACTATTCATAGACTGGTAAATCACTACCCATTCATAGTTAATCATAGTCAATATCTTCCTCGGATCTAAATAAAATATTATCCCCCTTTCTGTAGCACCATTCATGACTCGATAAAATAATATTATTTTAAGAGTCGAAAATTTTGGGGCGTTACACCTAAAATCACATCAAACTCCCGGAAAGGTAACTCTATCAGATCTCCCAGAAACACATAGCCATGTATTACCAACGGACAATCCCTATACATCCGATTAACTATCACACCATGACTCGAGGAATTAGTGACCACAATACTATGCTCTAACATGTCAGCATGTATATTACCCAGTCTACCCACATGTATGCACAAATATGAATGCGTAGAGCTAGGATCAATCAAAGCATGTACAGAAGCATCAAAGATAGAGAATGTACCAACTATGACATTTGGGGCATCCTGCTCCTCCCTAGTCCTGATAGCATACGCTCTGGCAGGTGCTCTGGACTCAAGTCTATCCACTATCTCTGAAATCGGCCTCTGACTCCCAATACATACTGTATCACTACGACCTCTGCCTCTGTCTCTCGGAACAAAGGGAGCTAACCTCCCTACCTAAAGAGCTGAACTAGTCAAAGTCATAGGGTAATCTCGAATCATATGTTCTGTAGACCCATATTGGAAACATGCCCTAGAATACCTCCTATAAACCCCAAGATGCCTCTTACCACACAGTACATGTCGAAATATCAATCCACGCAGCACCTCCACCACTAGCAACAGATGTGGTCTGTGAAGTTGATCTACCATAAGTGCCCTGACCATGCCTCTGAACTGGTCTAGACCAGGTCTGTGGTGCACCTCTATGCCTCTTACTACTGGACTGAGCCCCAGAAGTTTGTCTAGATACCCTTCCCTGAAACCTCTTCTGTTGACCCTGCTGACCCCGCTATCTCCTAGCCTGCCGCTCATTCCTAACTTCCTCAAGCTCTAATACTGCCTTCACTAGGGAAGACAATGATGTATGAGGTTGAGTGACCAGATGCATTCTGTATTCATTATGCAAGCCTTTCCTGAAGCGCTTGCACCTGTCCAACTCAGTAGGAATCATCTCTGCAGCGTAGCTACTCAATCGGATGAACTCTCTCTCATATTTTGACACAGTCATCCTGCCCTGCTTAAGCTCCAGAAAATCTACCTTACGATGATCAATATAGATTTCTCCAATGTATTTCTGTCTAAACTCAAAAAGAAACAAATTCCAAGTCCTCTGCTCAACACTGATTGTCCGTGATACTGTCTCCCACCACTGATAAACTTCCTCCTTCAATAAAGAAGTGGCACAAACCAAACTGTCTAGAGATGAGCACTGCATCTGCTCTAATATCCTCTCTAAAGATTGAAGCCAATACTCTACCGCTGAAGCCATATCATCTTTTCTACCCTTGGACTCAACAGCTCCATATTTCCTCAGTTTCTCAACAGGGCACGAACTGGAATGGGGGCTGTGTTGACGCGTGTTTTTATGCCCCCGCCTAACCCGATGAGGATGTAAGGATGTGGAATAAGGAATCAGGGTCAAACAGAAGCCTTTAAACCAAAAAGCACAACACTGTAGTCTCTAGAGTGCGGAACGGAGGATAGCATCTGCTCTAATAATCCTCTCTAAAGACTTGAGACGGCAAGGTGTTAGCATTGCCACATTCCTCTCCCGCTTGAAGCATATCATCGGTGTGTTCTCCCTTGGACCTCAACAGTCCCATATTTCCCAGTCTTCACAGGGCACGAACTGGAATGGGGGCTGTGTTTGACGCAGTGTTTTTTATTGCCCCCGCCTAACCCGATGAGGATGTAAGGATGTGGGAATAAAGGAAATCAGGGTCAAACAGAAGCTTTAACCAAAAATTGATTCAAACCGGTTCAAGGATGTCTTTGACCTGCAGCAGGGTTGCGTCCGCAGTATAAGTTGGCCCGGTGACCGGACTAGTAGTTGCGTTCACGGCAACTCTAACCAGGATGACATAGGATGACATCACTTGGACAAGCCTGTGTAGCTGTTTTTACTTTTTGTGTGGATACGCGGCAACTGTATGAAAAGTGAGCTGCGTCACGCAGCTCTCGGGTCCGCCACGCAACTGTTAGTTGCGTGACGCAGCTCTGTTTTGTTGTCCTACCCATATAAATACAACATTTTTATTTCTTATATGGGACTTTTGAATAGAACTAAGAGTGATTCTTTGAGAGAACAAAAAGAGTATTTGCGGCTAGGGTTTCTACAAGAGCTCTTTTGAGTCATCTTGAAGAAAAACGAAGCATTAGAGATTAAATAGGTTAAAAATAAAATCACAAAAAAAAGAAGAGAAAAGAGATAAAAGAAAAAGAAAAGAGTTTTTGGTTAAAACTTTGCAAAAGGGCTTTCCGTGATTCTGAAACAACAGCCTTAGGACATCCAAACCTCATGCAATCCTCAAATCTGAGGGTTAGGTAATCATCTAAACCTTTCTTGTCACGCCTCGACTCTAATCACCAGAGGAATTGTCCGCTTTGGTGTAGTCCACGGACGCCCTACACCTTAGTGCAGTCCCCGCATGCCCTATCCCGCACGGTTTTGTCCCGTAGGTGAAATGGGAAACTTCCCAGGAGGTCACCCATCTTGAGATTTCTGTTAAGCGAGCACGCTTAACCCTTTTGTCCCGTAGGTGAATAATGGGTAAACTTCCCAAGAGAAGGTTCACACATCTGATGATTATCTAGATTTAAGCGAGCACTGACTTCTGGATTTCTTTACTCAACTTTATAGCCATGGAAATCACAAAAGGACGCCTCTTATGGATGATTAGGTATTTAATCCCTCTTTCTCGATTATATGATATACGGATTTTTCAATTTCCGTGGTACCACCTCGCATTACCATAGCTAGCCTGCCATCCTAGGGATCGCCTTTGCTCTGGATCGGGATGTCACATTTCATTATTTCTTTGTTGTTTATATTATGAATACCCATTTTATTGGGAGTCTTGGTATGTTAGAATTTTGATTAAATTAGTATAATTCTGCCGTGGATGTATTTTGGCACTTATTTAAGATAATACTTAAACGAACTGTTGATAAAGCTTCAGAACCACACTAAAAAAAAATAAGTGTGTGTATATTGCAAATGGTAAGCTATACGGATATCCGCAGCCCTGACTTCGCTCGACCACACCTAACTCCCCCACAAGTTTACTACCTGCGATAGAACGCGAACCTTCCTGTTTCTGTCACAATAGGAAGTATAACTTTGTCCGAGACCACCTGCCCGTGCGGAACTGTTCGTGAAGGCACACACTGACTCAAAATAAATTACACTTATTCTAGTTTTATATTTGTCATCAAATATTATGTTTTAAATAAAGTTGGCAATTGATATGATAATCATGAGTAATACTTGTCTCATCGTCACGGAACAGAATGCGTTAACCATCAGCTAGGTTGTAGTATACGATCTCACGTCACAATCTGTTTACATTTTGACATTCATTAATGTATCAAGCTGCGTGAACTGACTATAAGCTTGTCTCCTTAGACGGTGTCCAGTTCTAATAAGTAGTTTCAATATTTTTTTAATTCTAATTATTCATGTAATTTAATAATTTAAAGTGTTTAAATTTATTACATTCAATGAATAATAACGTTATTATTATGGGCAGTTTATTGATTCTAAATTTCTATATTACTAAATTAGCTTATATGAGTTATTATATTTCACTATATGCATGTTAATATACTTAGGATTTTAGGGTTTATTATTGTTTTTTATTAAAGCCATCTCTATTTTACAAAAAATTCTTTGGTTGTTTTGGCTCCGCACCTCATTTTAACCATTAGATACATACTTTGGACAAGAGCGGTGTCATATTTATTATATTTTTTGTTATTGGTCAGTGAGTAATAGATGATAGGATTTATGACGGTTAATAGTACTTTATGATCGCAACGAATGGACCTCTCTCTGTTGGGAACAGAATATAAAATGTAGTTAATTTCCAACATATAGGAACTCGGTTCGATTTTATTCAGTGATCTGGGTGTGTCTTACATAATTTAAATTGCTTTTCTTAAATATATAATCAAAAATTTAGATAATATGAAATAGGTGTCTAAATATAAAATACTGAGGACCTGGTGACTCTTCACCTAAAGGCGTCATGTGTTCCCAATGGGTCCGGCTTCGTATCGCAATCCTCCTTACCTAGGAAATCGCATCGATGGCTGTATACTCGTCTCTGTGGTCTGTTAACCCCTCCCCAAAACATCCAAATGCATATGGATGCATGTGACTAAGGACCAGGAAACATGCACGTTTGATGTGTGAGTCGCCACCTGTTTTAATTTATTTAGAGCCGACCAGTTTTGGTCAAATAATAAATTGGACTCACGCGCCTTAATAAAATAGAAGGTCTCCCAATGAAAGTAAGGTGGTTGGTACAAAATTAATACAATCTGAGAATTTTTAATTAACGGTTCCCTTTATTACGAATTAAATTGGCCTTAAATAAAATTGGGTTAAATGAAGTAACTGTTATAAAATAAAAATTGGAAACGGTCCTATTGCCGAAATAATGGGTGGCGACTCAAAAGTTTTATAAGACCGATTCATCGGCACCGCGTTCCAAAAAGGTTTTGTCACCATTTATTAAATAAAAATCACATTTCCACATTTAAAATCCAAAGCAAAGAGTTTTCCGAGGTCCTTCCGCGGTACAGGATCTCTTGGGCAAAAACAGGCTTGAGCAATTGGAGCCTGGGGAATAGCTCCCACTGCCTGCGTCAAAGAAACAACTAACTGCTAAACAAGTACATCCTGATTAGGCTCTGTAGGACCTGCAGCAGCCTGCCCCACCCTCGAGGCGTGCTCCGCATTAGGACCCATAGCACCACTAGCGGCATCACCAACAAGAATACCACTACTAGGAGGGATATAGCTATTTGCCTCTTCATCAAAAAGATGTTGAGGCATCACTCAACTCCTACAAAGACCAAAAACTTCGCATCAGAGAGAAGTTTCAAACCAAACCAATATGGCATGTATTTAACTTAAATTACTCATACTCTTACTTTAAAACAGATAAATTCCTATATATACATATAATCCTAGAACCACCTAAACCTATGCTCTGATACCACTAAATGTAACACCCACCGCGCAATCCCGAGAGACCTAAAGGTGAATGCCACATTCGGTGCTGGAGGCACTATCCTTACTGACATAAAGATCATATAATCATATTATGAATTAGAATTGACTTAGTATTCACAAATTTAACAAATGATATTTTGTTATTAAAATTAATATTTATTTTCTAAAAAAACAATTTGGCAAGTTCCTATAGAAAAACTGCAAGAGTTTCCCTTAAAAACTTGGTTCACCAAAAATGTGAATTCAAAATACTTCCAAATTGAACTCCAAACTCCCATTACTCCAAATAATCAACACAATACAACTACACTTCTATAAACTCCAAACTCCCATTACTCCAAATAATCAACACAATACAACTACACTTCTATAAGTTCTTAACTTTATACATCCTCATTAGCATTTTAATATTCATTAATTAAATGCATTCATTAAATATATATCAATTCCTAATGACCTAATCATGCCAACTATCTAAAAATATTTAACATCAAATCATAAAATATGTCTCATGCTTATCTCCAAACATGTACACCAAAATATTTTGTAATAACATGCTTAAGTTATAACTCAATAACATAATCTCCAAAAATGTAATAATTTAGTTACATAAAACACTAAATCAACTACCAAATTAATCTCTTATGCTCTGATGCTACACTTTAGGTCTTCAAGTGGCAAAAACAATCTCTAACCTGAGTATAAACTCAGTGGTGCTCATAAATCACAAACATATTAATGTTGTGTTGACAACATACTTAAAACACAAATTTCATAAAATCATTTATAATCATAGAATCATCAAATTTTAGCCTGCATTAACATTTATAGCATAAGAAATATCAAATAAACTTAAAATTAATAACATAATTAATTGAGTTCTTTTATACCATAAATCCTTTACTTAAACATTTATTCTAACTAAGATTTACTAAAATAATGCAATCTCGTTAATTTAATTTCCTAAAAAAAAAATTTCCTAAAAAAAAAAATTTTACAGGGCCTCACATACCACTTAGGAGAAAAGAAAGCAATAAGTCTTCATAAGGCTTATTTCATAATGGCCTGTGTAACCATAAACATCCTACGTTTTGCTAGTTATATGATCATAGGGGCTTCTCTAGTATATGATCATAGCTTCTTATCATAACGGCATCAAATGCCGAGCATGCTCATCTTACATAATAAATCAAATCATGCAATAAATTCACACCAAGTATATCAGAGCCCAAAATCCTTGTTTTATTTCTCAATTCATAACACTTCTTATGAAACTTGTTTTTCCGTAGTTTTCTTGAAATCATAATATAAGCCTAATTTAGAATTCAAGTAATTCATGAAAATTTTCATACTCAAACATAATTACTTAACATAAGAAAATTTCCAGTATTAAAGTAATCTTGACCTTTGCTGTGTTTTTAAACATAACTTGAGTTATAGGTCTCCAAATTGATTAAAGTTAAATTCATTAAAAAGCTAAGACAAAATGCTACAAGTGTTATGAAGGGACAACAGCTAGGAACACAGACCAACAGTCCAAACCTGATTCAGTACATTCAATTCCAATGTTTATTTAATTCCTACTTATCCAAACACTCTAATTAAGCCAATCCAAGTCCATGGAAGTATTAAGATACATAGAAATAACTTTCATGAAGAACTCAAAGCATAATCTTGCCATTTAAGTGGCCAAAATGGGCAATCAATTTGGATAAACAAAAGGCCTAGCATAACCAAATAATTTTTGGTAATTAAATCATAAGTTGAGATATAAGTATCCAAATTAGACATAAGAGGATGGGTTGGAAAGCTAAGAAGTAGACCTACAACTTTCATGAAGGGCTTACATATAGATGGAGAATAAAAAGGATCGAAAAATAGTCCTTAAACACACCTAAAGACACATTTTCCCAAATCTCAGCTTAATTTAGTCATGAAAAAGAACATGAAAGACAAAAGATAGATGGTAGAGATTTCTACCATATACTATATACTCATCAAACATCATTTTAAAAGCATAAACCAACAAAGAAAACAAGAAAAACTTAAGGCCCTTTTTCCTTAAGGTTTGGCCTCTCCTGGAAGAAGAAGAGGAAAATGTTCTCCACTTCAATCAAACATGTAGTCATGCTTAAAAATCACCGACGAGCATGTTTATACAACCAAAGTTCAACAATCAAATCATTTCATACAAAATTCCCAAATTTTCACAAGTAGCATAAATTCACAAAATCAAAAATTTAAAGAAGGAAAGACATGCTTTACGTTATCTTAGTTTCATGCTATTAAAAACTCACGCGAGCATGTTTAATACAACCAAAGATTTCAACAATCCAATTCATTTCAACAAAATTCCCAAATTTTCAACAATGTAGCATTAAAATTTCACCCGCAGAAACTTTTCAAGAAATTAAATGAGGGAAAGTATAACATTAAGATCATTTATTGAACTACTAACATTTAACAATAAGCCTTTTACCAAGCTTAACATGTGAAAGGCTTTCTTAAAGCTTCTAGCCTTGCCCTTTATCTTTGGTGGTTTAAAGGCTTCATATCCACCCTCGTACATTTGTCAAGAAAGTTCCTCAGTAACTTCTTAAGCTTTAGCCTTGCCTTTATCTTTGGTAAAAGGCTTTCCACCCTCTACATGTAAGAAAGTCAAAATCAAAACAAAGAAAACACATAAAAGAACAAATTGGAGCATGAGTAAGCATGGGTTGGCTCAAGGGTCAATTTTATCTTGAGATTTTGATGATTAAGCAAAACCAATAAATTTATTATTTTATTTGTGCTAATATTATTTTTATGCAGATTTATTTATTTTTATATAAAAATTGATAAACAAGGCAAATTCAAACAAATCCAAGTTTAAATGAAGATCATGAAGACCGTTGAAGATTTTAGTCGTTAAGTATATTAGGATTCATTGTAGGATAAAGAGCATATTCTTTTATAAGCGCACAAATATTTTTCTCTCTCTCTCTCAAAATGATTTCGGAAATTACCTTAATTTATAAAAGATAAATCATGATTCTTTTCTATTTTCTTACCTAAATAAAAGAGATTTTGTCTTAATCATTTATGGTAACAAAATTTCCCATTTTCGGAAATTTAATTCACTTACCTAAATGAAAGACATTTTATCCTAATTATTTTTGGTAAGAAAATATTTTGAAAAATATTTTTATATTTATTTCTAAAAACAATT